AAGAAATGACAAGGTTGTGCGTTATGACTAGTATGCTGGTTCCAAAATTTTTGAAAAAATTATTAATTATTAAGCCACGCTGGCCGCGCGGCCGAGTAGTCCCGTAGCACTATATGGCAAGCAAGCGTTATTGTAGGGAAAACACATGTGCCCGTTACAAAACAATTTTCGGATAACTTTTTTAGCGGCAGAAATTATAGAAGGTTTTGAATTACTTCTTTAACTTCTACCAGTAATTTTCTCAACCGTTTCGGGCTGCGAATTATGTGCCGCTACAACAGATAAGATCAGGTGGAGGAGGATGAACTTTACGCTTCTTGTTAGTAGTAGATTGTCGATTAAAATGTTATTGGTATTAAAAGAGCTGTTTGTTGTGAGTTTATTACCGGATTTGATTATTATGACAGTTAAAGATTCATTCTGTTTATCCATTTATGGAATATGTGTACAGCTTGCCAAATGGCGCAAGTGCGCACAGACATAATCGCGAATTCAGAACCTTGGTACAAACTTGACTTTCTCGTAAACACAGATACGTAAACGCTTCCTATCGGCTCGGCGGCTCGAATGGAACTGAAAATTATTTGCGGATATAAACATGTACACATACAATAGCTATCTGGTTAATGTTATAATGAAAAAAAGTAGATACTTGTTCATCTTGAACATCAGGAGTAAGAAAATTACTGTTTCGGTTTCGTTCGCAAGTCATCGACGATTAAAAGTCTCTTTAAAGTATGATCGTATGAACAGTGGTGCGCCTGAGATAGGCAACGTGCGCGCGCATTAGCGTATCGTTTAAGGACCAAAAGCAGGACACGCTTGATTCATGCGCCACTGTTAACATATTTTACTTGTTAATCGTATCTTATTCATTATAGATCGGAGTTCTTAATTAGATTTTTCGAATAATTGAATTTAAATTAAATGTCAAATCTTAAAGTCCCCATTGCGGCTGTATTCTACTGCAGAGGGTTGATAATTGAAAAACGAAGTCGAAACTGCCATTCTATATTGTTGAATTTACTCTTATCTTATCATAATGAATTAACCTTCAAATTTCGTCCCAACTATTACCAATATATGCATGCATAGCTATCACTAGTTATCTAATAGCAATATCGAAAAAGTGAATTAAGGTAGTTTCACACGTTATTATTATGGATAAAACAGTTATTTGGAATAAATGGCAATCTGTAGAAAAACATATTATCCGTACTTCATGTACATTTACTGCCAGTTTCGATAATGTATATCCTATCTATGCGTATTGTTTTCTTTCGTTTATATATATGTATATACACGATTATTTCGTAACGGCCGATTCAATGAAGTCACATTAATGATAAACTTTGGTGTAAATTTCGAAGACAAATGGCAGAAGGTTATCAAAGATAATACGAAACGAGATATGACGAAGTTTCAGAGTCTTCGTGTACATCGTTAAGCACACGTGCTCGTTGAACACGTGATCATACGAGTATTTATTTGCTGAATTTCGGTTATCTGGTCACGTAACCAGAGACTGACATAACTGAGATCAGGAAGCAAGTTCGTACTTGAATAATCCATTCGATTAGATACGAGAAGCTCCAACATTGTTCCAAGCAAAGGTTTATACAAATAATAAACTGCCCGTAAGTTATACCATCAATTTTTCATGTAGTTTGCGGACTGACAATTCTAAACAATTCATCTTGCTACATTGCTTCCAACCAAATCATCTACTACCTTCCACGCACATTTATAACTTCGAAATCAAACGTACATAAAAATAGTGTACCAGAGATAATAGAAAACAATAAACGAAATTTTACGACCATTCCGGTTGATCTTCAATGACCTTCTCGTTAAAAAGAAAAAAGACTGACACATAAATAGCTCCACACTGGTACGATCAGGTAACTCTTCAACATGCTATTTATAACGATTACAATTATAAAAGACATTGGCAGAACCTCTGAAGAAACAGTAGTGTACCATAAAAAGGATTTTTTGATATACGGTATGGTTGCCGCCCGGTGTCCACGTAAAAGCGCGCGGGTCAAAAGACTCGCTGGAAATTTCGAGCAGGATTCGCCATAGTCGGCGTCCCGGCGGCAACACGAGCCTGCGCCGGTAGGACGTCCACACGATCCACCCGGCAGTCGATAGACGACCTCGTTCGTGTTTCGGTCATCTCGAATCCCACGGGTTTCAGCGATTGGACAAAGATCGCGCGTCTCCGTTTGCAAAGATCCTCGATGCACCGCCGATAAAGGAGACTTTACAGGTGCCAGACACATCTAGAAATCATCTAAGTCCGCCACCATCCCCGGTGTCCTGGCTGAAGGGGAGCTATCCCTGAAGATTGCCTCGGGCAGAGGTGATTCCGCGCGTTCTCGCTCCGATTTAGAAATATGTAGACGGTCGTTAGTGATAGGTCGTACACTTAGCTTCTACGTGAATTACGCGATTCGCCGTTTCGTCGGTCGTTCGGCCCACCGGACGATGGAGGACACAGGTGGCCGGGGATTCGCAGGCCTAGCCGGGGACATCGTTTTTACCGTTGGTATCGATCTCGCCGGGATGTCCTGTTCCGATGGGTCGACGCGAGACGGATCGGTCGGTTTCGTTCCGCGACGTTCACACATGACTACGGGATCACGGATGATGACCTAGAATGTAGGACCTATGCGATAGGTGAACCTGCTGACCGATGGACAGGTACGATTGCCATTACTATTGATTTCACGTGTTGACTGCGCTGGTGGTCCCTGCTGATCTGTATGCTACCCGTTGTTTCCTTTTTCATGTGTGGTTTTCACTTCAGAATGTTTCATTATTACGTGGAAAATCGAATCTATGATCGGATAGATCGGCTACGCGTGACCGAACATGTTTCGATGAAGACCGAATGGAATGAAGGAACAAAGTTGATTTGGGAGGAATGAAGTTTCTTCGTCTTCTTGGGTATAGCAAATATTTGTGTTGATTTTTATGGTAGACTGAATATACCTTTGTTGCGTCTGTCGCAGTCGGTTTTGTTCGTTGATTCGGAGATAAAATAATCGACTTTAAATGCAGTTTCGTCTGTTCTGTGTCAATCTACATACTTTTCGATGAGAATTATAGAATTATGATATCCGATGTCACAATACTACTTCTCGATCGAAATATTTAGGTGTAACAGTCGGGGAATTATTACATTTGTTCGTAATGTGTCATTTGGCCGAGCCATTCATTGTAACTCGACTCGAAAGAGAGTAATAGATTCGGTTAGAATAAAAACTTAGGTTCGCAAGCCGGTCAACGGTTAGAAGATTATTGCAGGAAGGAATAAACGCAATCTTGTTGAGCGTACGATGATTTATTTCATTTGATTATGAAGTTATCGCATTCGACAGAAAAAATGGCAATTAATATTTTACAGTTTTAATTTGTACGATATCCTGAATGATTTATTTATTATGGTTATATGATCTTATTATCTGCCAATACTTCTTCTTACATTCTAGACGGCCGACTACATGTGTAATTGCTGATAAGCGCTGAATAAATGAAATCGCGCGATATTAGGTAACCATTATCGCGTAGGTCATTCGGTCAAAATTGCTGTCTGAATCAGAGAACATCATCGTGACGGAAATTTTCTGGCTGAAACGTTTTTGATAACACAAGTAAAAAGTATCATTGTTAGAGGATCAGCGAAATGAAATAATGAGGTAACAGAATCGAAAAAATCGAGATGCAAGTGATTGTAATATATCTATGAGGAAAGTAGAAAAATTAAAATGAGATATCAGCGAATTTCATTGGAATATCTAATCAGATATATTATTCGTAGCATTGTATAAGTTGTTAACAAAAGTTTTTGCGCTTTATTGCATTTACAAACGTTTTTATCAAATGATATACACTGTGTTCTGTTTATTTCAACGGAAAATAACGTTCACTGTTGATTGCAATTCGATGTTACACTATCGTTTGTGTCCTCGAATAAAACGATTTTATGCCAACACATTATACCTAATTTCATATGCATTCGATACTAAGAATCATTTGCATAATACGTGTGTTTATTATTCTCGTAAATAAAAAGTATGCACATTTCTATGAGCACAGAGTGCAATCCTTCATTTTACGTCCTGATGCGTATAATTTTGTTGAAAAGATATGTTAACCGGCGATGTTTATTCGGCGACTGGTTTAACTAACACAACAGAATTACAGAGTGGTTTTACTAAGTTCTTATTCTAGTCGATAGTTGTGCGTCAAATTCAACGTCATAGCCGATTCATAATTATAAACGTTCGATAGAAGCGTCACAGTTTGCTAAGGAACTTTCAAGCCTTTGCACGGCAACGGTTCAATCGCGACCAGTTGAATAATCGGGGCAATGATTATCGATCGTTCTTACGTCAGAACAACGTTTCTCGAAATGCAGTTTACTTTTGTGGGGTATAAGTGGCGAGGATGCAACGAGTACTGGTTACGAAAGTAACACTTCCCATACTTCGATAGATCAGTATTGTCGATGTTAATAGAAATCTGGAAGAAATATCAAACAAATAAATAATAACGATCGATTTTGTTAAATTATCTGGAAGAGGACAATTCAAAGAAGCGTATTCAATTTCTGTTCATTTTGTCTGTTAACGCATTAAATTCGTGCAGAAATTTTTAAGACTTTCAGTTCCGTTTCGACTGTATTGAACTTAATGCAATCAAGTTAAGTTCGTTCAGTGTTTGGATGGGAAGGTTTCTAATTAATTGAGAAAAGTCAATTTGGTTCCAAATTTAGGAACACTGATGTTGTATGAATATGGTTTGATACGAGTTAGGATAATTATTATTAATTAACATTGGCCATTAAAATTTATTTGAAACATAACGGTTTGTGAAGTGAGCTGAGGGCAAATTAAAAATATTTAATCAATGATTTTTAAGTGGACCCAAAACATTTATAACACGACAGTGTTGTTTAGCGGTACTAACGGTAGGATATATTTTATTTGCAGAACCAAGAGAATAATGGCGCCAAATATCACCAGTACCCCAACGGGAGTAATATACGAGGGGGAGAAAGTCGATGAAAGCTCACAAATCGAGCAGCCAAAAAAGAAATTCGTGAGACAGATCGTTTGGAGAAACGTAGTTATCTTCGTCTACCTACATCTGGCAGCGATTTACGGACTCTACCTTGCCTTGACATCCGCCAAGATTTTAACATCCCTGTTTGGTAAGTGAGATGAATCCTAGCAAGTCCTTAGCTTCGTTGCTTCATTTTTACAGACCGTAGAGCCCGAGTTATTTCACCAAAAATTGTAACAGTTCTTGGAAGAATTGATCCTCGGTGTATTATTAGCGACTGTTATTCACACAATCAGTATTACTTTCGAATTTCGTACCGCCAACTCGATGCTCGCGTGATTCGTGTCGGTTCAAGTTACAGAAACAGTTTTAATTCGATCAATAATTCTGAAAAGTGGGCTGAGCCCACTGAAACGAAATTTCCTTCGACCAACGTATGCATCGTTCTGGAAAATGAACGAATAAGAACGATGAATGACAAATTGTGTCACATCGATGCAGTTTCCGGTTTCGCTGACTACAATAATCTTGTTCACTCGAACCGGTATTCTTCGTTGCAAGTTCAAAAGAAGCATACAGATTATATTGGGTGTTATGAAATATGTTAACGAACGAACTATAGTCTTTAAATTAATTTATTTAATATAATTCGACTGTTTTAATATACAAAAGGGACGAACCGACTGCAATAAATGATTCATACAATTTGTATCGATCGTTTAGAAGGTTTATCGCTTAAAAGGATAATCAACTTAATATTAATTGTTCTTTCACTTTGTTTCTTTGCAGCCTTACTTCTATATATGGGTAGTGGTCTCGGAATCACCGCTGGCGCTCACAGATTATGGTCACACAAATCGTACAAGGCAAAAATGCCTTTGGAATTTTTTCTAATGCTTATGAACACCATAGCCTTTCAAGTAAGTGGACGATTCCGATCGCAAAACCATTTGTAACCGTTGACCAGGCCCGTGGGGTTTACTGTTATGCAATAAGCAAAAATGAGACAGATTAGCTCCCAGACGGCGATCGGACTTTGGGCCGCGATATGATTAATAAGAGTAGACGAACAGGCATAATGTGATTAGTTAAAATTGAATATCTATTACTGTCGTTTCTTTCCGATGACATTTTTTTTCATTTCTTTGTATTTAACATTGGATCTGATAATTACATAATTAGAATTAACTAATGAAAGCAATTGCATAGATTACGTTAATTCATTGACCCTAAGATAATTTATTGTGTACGTACGCAGAGTAATGATTGGTCATCATTAGAAGATGTAATTTGAAAATATTTGTATTTTACCCTTTGGTCCTTTTACAGATGTAGCATGAAAAATTTTTAAATTTTTCTAATCTATCGCAGTCGATTTCTTCATTTCCAATTAATAGTAATCTCTTTAGTAGTGAAATGTATATTCATTATTTCACTTATCCATTTGTTAATTATGACTTGTTTGAACCTGTTTCTTACGCTAATCGTGCAAGAATTAATGAAAACAATAGCCCTAATTTATGAGATTTATGTCTTGTATAACAGTTTGTTAACGTCATGTGGTGTAACATATTTACAATTCATAACTTCTATTGAATTGCAAATCGCACATGGAACTAGTTAATTGTTTTTACTCAACAACCTTTCGTTTACAATCCAGAATAAAAAGTCGCACATTACATATCTATCTTGAACAATCTTCAATCAAAGTCAAAACACGATACAATAGAATGTTAAGGTTCTAGTATTATATCTGCTCTTGACACATTCTATAATATCGAGATTAAGTTAAGTACTGATATATCTATAATTTATTGGTCATTAATACATAAACGATGTTTATCTTGAAGCCAAGATACCATATACGGTCACTGGTTTCGTGGATAAAACCGAATTTTTTATTCTACTCTAAAGTTCTTCGTTCTGCAAATGAATGGCCCGATTAAAATATTCTGACGTTAAGTTTTCAATGCTCCTGTAAGAATCATCTAATATGTGTCTAAATTAGGCGTTAATATTTTGTTTCAAAGAATTCGGCAATCGAGTGGGCCAGGGACCACAGATTGCACCATAAATACAGCGAGACCGATGCGGATCCCCATAACGCGAAAAGAGGATTCTTCTTTGCTCATGTTGGTTGGTTGCTGTGCAAAAAACATCCGGACATCTCGGAGAAAGGAAGGGGAATCGATATCAGTGATTTAATGAATAACAGGATACTCAGTTTCCAAAAAAAGTAGGTGCACTTTGTCATAATTCCAAATAAGATGGCCCGATCCTATTTAAACTGTCAAATGTCTATATTCTCAATTGTTTTTAGAAAAACATTTTTTGTTTCGTTAGATGTCAATGACATTTGCGATGTACCAGTTCTTTTAAAAAGAATGAGTTATCTCTTCCTGACTGAGCTTAAAATGACTTGCAATAATTACGATTCTAAAAAAAAAAGAAAAAAAAACATTTTTATACCTAAGTTATGCTTATTCATTTCATTATGCTAATCGGAGGATTTATCACTTTATAAATTTTAACGCGTCCGACAATGACTATGAGTATTGCAACGGAATATCAATTATACCCGGTAAAGAGGTTGTAATTTATCTAACGAAACTATTTTTTCATAATTTATTCACAGATATTACATGATCTTGATGCCAATCATGTGTTTCGTACTGCCAACCGTTATTCCAGCTTTGTGTTGGAATGAGTCGTGGTCGAACGCCTATTTCATTTCTGGAGTCTTGCGTTACATTTTCACGCTGAATTGCACGTGGTTGGTTAACTCCGCAGCCCATCTCTTTGGAAACAAACCATACGACAGGTTAGTATAATTCTTTGTTAATAAACAAAAATGTTATATCTTATTCTCAGTTATTTATAATAGTAATAACAAGCATTAAAAAAAAAATGAAACTACCTCGGTGCACGTAACGTGTACATAGGGTGTTTCAAAAGTCTTGTTATTGTTACTTGTTAAACAAATCAATCATTTATCTTTACTAAAATAGAAATAATTTTTCATCTGTAAGAGTACATTTTTCAAGACGATCACTATTGACCAGTCGGAGCATTTGATAATAAATAATATTAATACAGTTAACTTAAATAAATATTCATAAAATTCTGTAAAATTAGGGAAAATATTAAAGAAATTTGAATATCTATTTTTCACACAAAAATCTATTAATATAATAAACTTTCTAACAAAACTTCCACTACATTCGGTATAACATACTTGGGCTACTCACTTATGGTCCCTCGGGCAAGGTCACGAGTTACAACACTCTGTAGTAATACAGCAAGTACGGTTTTGGGAATTACTTCGTAACAAGGGAGAACAGGTTACTAATCTCACGCTTTAAACTTGTACACGATTTTGTTCCAACGATGTCCCTTACTATGCGTTGATTGGAGGAATGATGAAAAATGTATGTATGAATAAAGGATTGCCCAAGCTTAATTTCTAGAAACAATACAGGTGAAATAATAGAGTTGCAATTCGAACAACTATAAGAAATACGTAATAATAGAATTTCAATTCAAATAGAATGAAGGAAGAGTATTATTGTTATTAAAAAATGTTTAATTAAATAATTCCAGGTATATCAACCCAGCTGAAAACAAAGGAGTGGCCCTTACAGCTTTTGGCGAGGGCTGGCACAACTACCACCATGTGTTCCCATGGGACTACAAAACGGCCGAGTTAGGCAATTACAGATTCAATATCACGACAGCTTTCATCGACCTCTGCGCCAAGCTTGGTCTGGCGTACGACTTGAAGGTGATTCCCGTGGACATGGTTAAGAAACGGGTGGAAAGAACGGGCGACGGTAGCCACGAACTTTGGGGCTGGGGTGACAAAGATCAGACACAAGAAGACAGGAACCAGACGATGGTAATACATTCCCTAAAGAAAAACCACTAGGGAAGATCCGCCAAACAGCCGACCGTTGTGCCGTGCAATGAACGGCGGCCAACTTTGTACAGTTATTAGGACGGGGCCGGGTTGGGCTATCCAAAAAAATTTGGGGTATCACTTAATATTTTGTAGTCACGTGGTTGCGGGAATGCTAGCTACATTCGATTTTCTGGGAAATTGCTCAAATACTATTCTGTTAATTGATCCATACTCTGTATCTTATTTTGAATACCCTAAGTTGTAATATTAATTATAAATATGATACATGTTATGGCCAGAGCAAAATTGATATACAAGCAGCCACTGTGGCAACGATTCATGTAAATATTCATAATACAATATGAAATATAACCACATGATGAAAATGAATTGTAACTGGGATTAACAGCACACGTTGCTCAAAAAGCTGAATGAAGTTAGCCCTGTGACTACGCGACTGATTCAAATGGATCATTTGGTAAGTTCTGAACGTCCTCAATGATTCCAGGGAAAGTCAAAGACCTCTTACGTTATAGATTACAACGATATAAACACTTTCGACGATCCTTCTGAATGATTCAGACATAGTTTATATGATACACATAGTTCGTTAGTTTGCCCCGTGGGTGATGAGATTCCGCCAAATGAACTTTATTGGAGCCTGCAAATCGTAAAGTAACCGCCCATTTCCTCTTTAGTTTACCTATCAGCGTTTACACTCGGTTAGTAGTAACTTTATTTAATATTCTCCCGTTGTTTGTTGATCAATTTCGAGGCGAACAAACACGGAGCAGCAAGTACTGTCGGTGCAGGACTATTTATTTCGAAAGAAACACTTTGCCGTATTCTGGTAAGCGTCACTTACCCCTTTCGGCGCTGGTAGCCCTTCAGGCTTCCCATAAGTTTAAATAACTAAATGTGACGTTTCCAGAGGACGTGTGTATCGCAGGCGAAATATGCTCTCATCGTTCAAAATCCTAGTATCGGATGTATCAATAATTGATCCTTGAACGAAACTCATCCTAACCTTATACGATCAGGATTATATTGTCTATAAATCGATGGGTGTGACGAAGAATGGAATGTTTCATGTTCACGAAGTATTGATTTCATTTATTTTCTTTTTGTTTATTTTTACTTACGCTTTTATACTATCCAGCACATCATCTGAACTTTCCCGAGATTAACAAAAGTTGAAAATGGGACACTTATTTCAATTGTTTCCTGGTACGAACATTTAATTGTGACGTGTTCGTTTAGATTCAAGAAAACTTAATTATAAAGCTTATAAAACTGAAATATTTTGTTTTCGTATTTGTATTAGTCTTATTTCTTTCCTTCTGTAATGAATTTACGAATTGGCACTATTCTGTATTGTAAAAGAAAATTTGTTGCTTGAATATAACGGGGACAGTTACTGTACGATGTAGCAGAGTTACTAGACACATTGCATCAAGTTTCAAACGTAACGAGCTTATGAAAAGCTTATCAGGTACCTGAACGCAGAAGACAAGGCGATGTTTCACGCTTTCTAGGATGTAAAGACCATTAACGCATTCTTAATTAATTCTGTCAGTTTATTGGATTAATGTGTGAATAACAGAAGGTCTGCACTCGACGACAGTCTGTACCAAACGAAATTATATAATCGCCTATTAAATGGGTTAGAAA